CTTCACAAATCACAAATTTTTATAGGGTGTGATTAAGACGATATTATGTCTCATGCTCTGGTCATTTCAAAGAAGTGTGAGTCACACTACACAAAGTTTAGAGTAGACTATGAGACTGATGACACCAAGTGTGCACCAAGGCAGTAAGTAATGAATGGTCTATTAGTAATATGACGGCACTCTATGGAGGAGAAGAGCTGCCTTCACAGCATTTTTGAAGCTGGCTCAAGACAGCATGAAAAGAAGATAGCTCAGATTCTACTGCAGTCAGGGTGCAATTGGGTTGAGGCCCCTCAGGCATGTTTGGAAACAGAGGAGAAAGCACTCGGCCTCCTTCAGCAGGTGTGGAGTGGAAGAGAAGAGGAGAGCAGGGCTTGAAAGTGCTAGGTGGGTAAATATAAAACATAAACACTTTATTAGATATTCAAATTACATTTTCTCAAGAATACATACATCTTTTATTTGATTGAACTCTTTTTCCCAAGCAGTACCCAAGGGATGTTTTTGTACAATGAAATAAGACACAAATTAGAAGAATTCTATTATCGAAAGAAACTCCATTCTGGTGCCAATGTGGGAATTAAATGTTTAGTTTTAAGACAAAATCTTTAAGCCTCATATTGTCATTTGAAAATATTTAAAAATCAAAACCAAGTCCATATTAAAGTAGTTTCTTAATCTTTTCAATTGTTGCCTTCTACTGACTTTCTATTAACTCCCTAAACTTTCCATTGATGATTTTATAGATTGGTTTATCATATGACCATTTCAGCATCAACTATTCCACTTATAAAATCATGATTTCAAGATTTTCATGTTAATAGAGAAGTTTACAAATCTACTCTAAGAGAAAAGAAATGATTTAAAGATACATAGCAAATTAGTTAAAAAGAGGGAAGACTATCAGATTAAATTTAAAGAATGTAATATCACCATTTGATACCAATAATTATTTTTACAAAAATAATTGCAGTGAAAATAGCAAAAAGTAGAAAAATTATTGGGCCAAAAACCTTTTTGCTGAAGAAAATGTAACTAGGTAAATTACTTTTGTATACAAAATTCATGATTTATCCTTACATCACATCAGTCTATTAGATGGACAGAAAGATTCAGCATCTTATAGAAAGACAGGTTACTCAGTTCTCCATGAAAAAATTTGTTCTGGGGGTATAACATATTTATTTTGAAATATATTATGGGTATTGTGACATCTCCCTATAATCAGGGGAGTTTTCTATATATTTTAGGGTGTAGCTATTTCTTCTATTTGAAACCTTAATATTTCTGTAAAAACACCAAAGAATCACATTTATACCATAAATGAATATTGGTTTCATAAAGCAAATGGAGGATAAGGCATAATGTATAATCTATAAGTTTAGTAGAGGACATATATATTCAGAATCAGTGGATTTACACTAGAAATTGGGACCAAGTAAATTAATTAAGGATTTGTACAGCAAGAAATTAAAATATTAGATAGTGGATGGATGGATAAAAGATTTGAGATACAGAGAAAATGAGAGAGCTAGATATTGTATAGTTTAATCAATGATAAGGATTCCCAAGGTAATAGGCAGGTGACAACAATAAGAATGTGGGTTTTAAGTATATGGATAAATTGAAACAAAGTTAAACAAACAATAATTTGCACAGCCAAAATTGCCACATTTCAGGCAATTAAAAATCACACTTAGTGGCTATCAGATTGAATAGCATAGGTGAAAATACTTTCATTTTGCCCGAAGTTTTCTGCACAGTGCTGGCATACAATACAACCAATATCAAATTATATTATAGATCAGTTTATAGAAAATGAAATATTTCTTATATTCCTCTGTAAAGATTACTCTCCAAAAAAGTGAAGGACTCAGGGCATCCTTCCCATTCCTGTTAAAATTACAATGAGGAGAGCCTATTTCATTGTGCGTATTGTTTAATTCTTTTGTGTAGTTTGTCTTTTCATAAAAGTTTCTTCCTAACTTAAAAGAAAGCAGAATTCTCAATAATATGGTTGATAAAAGAAGATCCTGCCCACAAGCATTTTGATATTTTAACATGATACAGAGCAAGAACAAATATTTTTTTTAAAATGAAAGAAAAAATAAATTTCAATGGAGCTGAAGTTGAAAGGAGGCATCATTTATATTTGAAATAGTAAAACTGACTTCTTGGAAGAAATGGTTAATTATAAAGATTTGGTTGAGTAAATATCACTAAAGTAAAGACCTACATAGAGGCATGAAAATATAAGAAATGTGTAATTTGAATTTTATAGAAATATATAGCAAGTTCTGCATGAGAGTACATGCCAGAGTACAGTGGTATAAGGAGGATTATCTGAGGTCAGTTGGAAAACTTTAATCCTTGATGTTGACTTCCATGGCTCCTTGTCATCATGAGGTAAATGTGAGTGTGTTTTAAAGTACTTCTGTGTGACACATTTACTTAGATGTAACTTTCTTCATTCACTTATTCATTCTTATACTTGAAATTCTACATATACAAAGCCACAATTCATAGCATGGTCAAATTATTCACTAATAAACCAATCCCATAGGAACAATTTGTGATTTCCCCACTGGTGCTAGGGATCAAATTCAGAGCCTTTTCCATGCCAGCCAAAGGCTCTATCAATGACTTGCATCACCAGCTTAAAATTTTTGCCTTCAAAAAAATGTTATTACAGAGTGACAATTCATTCTGTTGAGTTAACGTAAATGTTGATTAGTAAGAAATGAATGTCCTTTTTTGTGGTAAATTTGTACGAAATTGAGGAGCATTTTGAATGTGTGGTGTGTAAGTTATTTCCTAACGTTATTATATAATTAGCAGCTTCAGACAAGATGCATTTGTTATGATAGAGTTCCTGATACACAGTCTAACCAAGTAGGTGGCTCCTCTGCAAAGTTACTATCATGTCAGCCTGGGGTGATTGTCACAGGAGGGAAGTGGAGAAGGAACCACTCTCTTTCCATGATAATGATGTGGTTGTTGGCAGCATTCAGTCTCTTGCTAGGTGATGAACTGGACAACTCAGTATTCTTTGGCTGTTGGTGAAAAGTCACCCTTGGTTCCTAGTTGGCTAGAAACAATTCTCAGTTCCTCGTTTTGGGAAATTCCCCAACTTTGGCCTGCAAAGAAAGTGGAAAACAAACACAACAATTTTATATATTAAAACCACTAAAGTGCCATTCAGTACTTTGCCAGATCTTATTAATTAGAATCAAATTACATGTCAAGGAGAGGAATTAGGTGAGAATGCAGGTTTTTGGAATAATTGGGACCATTTTAGAATCTGGCTATAGAAAAAAAGAGTTATATTTTTCTTAAATCTAATATTAATTTATTATTATGAGATAGAATGATCTTCTGAAGTTAATACAAACATTCATCATGACTGTGATGATCTCAGGCTTGGGATTATCCCTAGGACAGAGAATGTATTTGGGAGTACAATAGCCTTCAGATCAAGGATCCATCCATAAAATTAAAATATTGTTGTGTTTAATGGATTTTTAGATTAAGATCAGATATTTAATTGTGTGGCCAACCCCATCCTGAACAGACTGTGTCACTTTAATTTATTATTTCAGCTAAACACGTACACAGGTTCTGGAATAGTCAATTTTCCTCGAATCAAATATAATAGTCTTAAGCTCTGGACCAACTAGACAACACATGTGGTAGTTAAATAGTAATTCTACTTTCCAATGACTAAAGTATGAAGAAAAGGCTCAGAATAACTCTTTGAAACATTTTTATATTTTACAAGTAACCATAGGTTGAAAATATGCAAATGTAATTTTTGATTCTTTAATTTTATGTATATTGTTTTCTATTACTATATACATGGCTCTTATCAATGTGGAAAGCTACTCCTTAGTGTCCCTTGACATATTTTTCCAAGGCATGAAACATTTTGAATTACCAGAGAGAAAAGTAAGTAGATATACTAATATTTTATTATTTGCAGTAATAAGAATAAAATACATTTATTTTATACATAAAATAAATTCAGAATATTTAACTTCAAATTGTGATTCTTTGTTTTCATAGATATAAGGGCAACCTTTTTCAGATATTCTATCTGGAAAAGTATTATTAGGTGCTAGACATTTTCTTCAAGGAATTGAACATTATTTTTTATTTTGTACTATAATATTTGAATATTTAGGGGGAAAAAGTTTGATAAAAGGAAAATTCAAATTTTAAAATGATTTTTATATTGATTTTTAATCTAAATATTATTTCATTTATAGTATGTGACTTTAGATCCCTGATTCCAACATTTTAACATACATATCAAATTGTTCTTCATAAAGCTATATTAATGAAATCTTGTGAATAAATGCTAATTTTGAAATTTCAAATGATAATATTTTAAATGAGAAAAATATGAGGACCATTGCGTTTTAATTTGCATAAAGTTAACTATGTTGCAGAAATTTTCTTCCAATTTACAATTCTAAAATATGGTTAAATGGGACACAATACTTATTATAAGTAAAATGATACATTTTAAAAATCTTGTCCTGTGCCAGGGATTTAGCTCAGTGGTTCCACCGCCTGCCTCGCAAGCGGAAGGTGAGTTCGATCCCCGGAACCAAAAAAAAAAGAAAATCTTGTCCTAATTCAGGGCATAATATTTTATCATACATAGTTTAAAAATTAGCATCTGTTAATGCCACCAGACAAGAAGTAACTGGCAAAGATCATGTCTCCTACCATAAACAAATATAAAACTAGGAAAAAAATTATGACATGATTGGTTTTTAGCAATTGCACAAATGGAAGAAAAAGACTAAAAATTCTAGAGATATTTACAAGTGAGTCACGTGATCCATCAAACTCTCTCACTGTGCCTGATTTCTGGACCACAGAACAGTAAACTGAAGGGCAAAGAAAGCATGGAGACTGGGCAAGGACCGGAAATAGAGGGCGGATGACTTCCACCCTGGTGGGACCGGAGATAGAGATCGGAGTACTTCCGGGCTGTTGAAGGCAAGCCTTGGTGGTTATGGCGCTCCTGTGCTGAGGGAAACTTCGTAAGTCATTTTAGCCATTTTTTTTTTTTGGTACTGGAGATCGAACTCAGGACCTCGCGCTTGCGAGGCAGGCGGCAGAACCACTGAGCTGAATTCCTGGCCCCATTTTAGCCATTTTTTACGAATATTTGCTTCGAAACTAAATGAAGGTACATCTATTTTAGGGTACTTCTATTTCTGGCTTTGAGAAGAGCACGGATAAAGTAGAGCTCCAGAAGTGTTGCGAGGCATTAGAGGCCTCTCTGGTGTGAGTGCAGAGATCCCATTTACATTGATTTCGCGTGAGATCACAAGGGTCACCCCTTGGCGGTAAGTGGCTTGTTTTAAATAGTAGAGGTTTCGCAGACCTGCCTTTTAAGGCCTAAAACCTATCTCTCAGCAGGTTTAATTTGCACACTGTGGGCAACAAAATTAGAAGGTTTGCTAACACCTTTGTTTATACTGGGGACTTACTAATCGATGCAAAATTTCTTTGAACAGCAAAGCACTCTTGATCTGAAAGCCCTGACACCGTGGGATGAATGAAATAAGCAAGGAGGTAAGAGAGCTGTCATATATTTGTAATCTTTAGCTATTAAAATTTCCTAATAGAGAAGTTTAATTGAACCCATAAATTTGTGTTCATCTATGTTGTGTAGGAATATGCACCTCAGAGAGGACTATAAAATGAAAGATAAATCGAAGGAAATATATATATGCAATTTTTAGTATTGTCTGTATATTGTCTGTATTTAGTATTGTCTTTATATTGTCTGTATTTGAGCTTATACAGGCAATCAGAAGATAATTATTAAAGAATGTTTTTACTTTTAAAAGTTCTATCCATTAATGAATATATCTCAAATAATTTTCTCGCTTTTAATTATTATATTTTAAAATTACATCTAAAAATATATTTCCATTTTAATGTAGCCAAAAGGGCATAAATTCCAATTTCTGAGACCAACTTGTTTCTTATAAATATGTATATATATTTTTCTTTTTTGCATGTATTATCTTTATTGGATACAATAATGAAAAAGATGAATGAGAAGGTCTGATAATTTTATTTATTTGTTTATTTTTCACAGAATAGGTTGGTTTATTTCAATAGCAAAAAGCTGAAAAACGTCAGGTCCCACCTGATCTGAAGCCCCTGTGTCCACCAAGGTCTGATAATTTTAAATACGTGCTCTTTATTACTGCCATTACAGCTTTAATGGCTGTCTCAGTTTGCCTGCAATAGCAAATTATCATCACTTGGTGTCTTGAAAAATGAACACTTATTTCTCCTAGTACTGGTAGCTGGGAAGTTCAAAACCAAAATACTGGCAGATGTGGGGTCTGGTGAGGGCTTGCATTTTGTTGGACACAGCTCGGAAAACCACTGATCCTTTTTACAACTCTATAGTTTCGTCTTTTCCAGAGTGACCTTACTTGGAGTGAGACAACATGCAGCCTTTCAGATGGACCTTCTCTCACTTTTTCAGTAAGCATTAAGTTTCCAGCACATCTTGTCTTTTTATGATTTGACAGTTCATTTATTTTCATTTTATTAATGAATAATATGCTATTGTATGAATGTTTCCCAGTTTATTCATTAAAGGATATCTTAGTTGCTTCTAAGTTCTGATTATTGAAATTTATTATTACTTTCCTTTTAATATTTTTATAAGATATAAAACTTTAATTTCTACCCATTATATTGGTTTAAATGGACAATTGAAGTTGTTAAATACCTTATTGCTGTACAAAACAATACTATTCGAATAAGAAGTAATACATGATACAAACACAAAAATCGTAACAATACCTTTAATATGTGCAATTGATCCCATAATATAAAAACTCTGATTATAATGAATGTATGTAACTATAGGAGTATCAATTTCTTATAATCTTCCCAGGAGACCATTTGTTCCATAACTACAAAAGACTAATTATCTAAAGCAGACTGAAAAGTTCCGCTTATATAAAGGCAGGAAAATCTCAGTCTTAATCCCTTTTGGGGAACTAACATGAATATCTACTGTGAGAAAAGGTTTAATATTCAATTTATATAATTGTGAACAACCTGTTATAGAAAATAATTAGCACACATTTTTCAAATTGTGAGCACAGATATCAAAAGTGAAGTGAAACAAATATTATAAACTCTTCACTGAGAGAAAGGTTTAGAAAAATGTATTACTGATGATATTTTACGTTTGGCGTGGTGTTTGAAAATTTAATTATGAAATTAGGAACTTTAATTTTAGTACTTTCTATTAAAGTGTGATGATGCATTAAACTTTGGTGCAAAGTCATGCATGTGTGTTTATATATCATAGTGCCTCCAAAATAGGTACATATTTCCTACTTTTTACTGGATAGATTTGTTATATGTAAAGTATAACAGGGATATCATTTCCCTTTTCTTCAGAGCAAATGATACATATACCGTCCATTAAAAAAACTCAATTTTTAAGCATGGGTTCCTTTTCTGCAGTAAAACTCACATTTGGAGAAGTAAAACATTCGCCTTTCATACAGTCAGTCTGTAGTAACTGCTCTAAGGAAACAGGAGTAAAAATGGAGATTCTCTGGGAGTACTATTAATGTCGATAGCAGGCCGACCTTTATTGTGCATAGCAATCTTGTGAGTTCTGCCAACATACATGAAATTATGTTAGGTTAACTTGTTAATTTGCAGGTAGCATAGAATTTCTGAACTGCTATGGTTCTTGTTGCTTTGTTATGGTAATGAGATGCTGACACAAATACTGCTTTATGGCTAGAACTTCTGAGAGGCTTGTGCACTACTTTAAAAGATGGGAAAAGAATTGCTGGGATCTTGCAGCAAATCCTGTTGCCTGTGTGGCAATGAGATTGAAGATGATACCCCATTTTCTCACTTGTGAATTACATTTTAATAGATTAACCATGAGAAATATGATAGAAGAAGCCATCGGAGTGCTGTTTCATGTTTCCTCATTCTTCTCTGACAAGATTTTAAGACAGTAGGCCACCAGTCAACATAAGTCTCTATCACATCAGTATGACTATAGTCAAGCAATGCAAAAGCTGAAATAGGTAGATTTATCAATGAAGATACAGAATTTTGTAATGCTCAAAACATACATAGTATGAGATGAGCTGGCAGCCACTCTCCACCAAAGCAAAAATACAAAACTTTGCTTAAGATGGTAAATTTTATGTCATGTGTTTTAACACCATAAAACCAAAACAAACAGAAAACACGCATTATTGCTTACTGGCCTGGAACAGCCTTATCTCTTTATCTCTACCCTTCAAAACCCTAACTCAGATACCTTAAGGAAGGCTGTTAAAGTGACTTTGTGGGTTTGGTTCATTGCACCAATTCAGTGAGCTGTTGCTGAGACTCCCACTGGTACATGTGTATTTGTACTGTTCATCATGCTGGTTTTCTCAACTCTCATAACTCCCAGAGTAGATATTCTAAATAAAGCAGAATGACTGTGGAGATGTTGCTAGTACTTTTGTGATTTTACATCTATAAAGAGCTCTTTGAGCTGCAAGTCTTTATATTTAATGAATTACGTGATTGGAGTATGTCTCAAAGGGTAGCTAACTTGCTTCTGCCATTACCTTTCTTGGTGTGTTTGAACGAGTTATGCTACCGGCTACTTTAAATGGAAAAAAAAAAAAAAAAGAAAGAAAGAAACCTCATCATTTTCCTGTCACAACGATAAGGAACACCAGTTCTGAAAAAGTTCCCTGCATTGGGTTCTTAAACTTAGACTCAGTGACATTAAAAGGACCTAGGAAGCCCTGTTGTCCAGCAGAGATGGTATATTTAAAAATACAGTCCAGCTACCCATAGTGGCACATGCAGACAATTCCAGCTACTAGGGAGGCTGAGTTAGGATTACAAGCTTGAGGCCAACCTAAGCAACTTAGCAAAATTCTGTCTTGAAATCAAATTTAAAATGAAAGGATAATCATTTACTAACTTTAACATTATTATAACATTCTCCAACCAAAAGAGAGAGAAAAAAAGCCAGATTTTAGACATTTCGATTTGGACTAAGGTTTCCCTCCTTCATCATTTCCAAGTTTTGTTTCAAACATAACTGATTTTTTCTACATAGGTTTATATATAATAGAACTTTTTTTTTTTTTTTTTTTGTGATACTGGGAATTGAATTCAGGGCCTCATATTTGCCAGGCAGATGCTGCGTTGCTGAGCTACATTCCCGGTCCTGTAATAGAACTTTTGTTGGCTTATTTTCTTCATTTGGTAGCTAAGAATCTGTACCAAAATGCACTTTTCCTCAATCAGATATGAAATTATAATAGTATTTTATTTTTTTATTGCTCTTGCCTTTAGTGTCTTGGTCTACACTTGTTTAGAGACATCTTGTCATCTTCTGTCTATATGGAGATAGGTAAAATGATGCTTAATAAATTCTTCATTTATTGATACATTAGGTAGTGAACAATTCTCTGAAATGTTTGATCTAAACTGTTTCTTTCTCTACTTTACCAAATAGGACAAAGCACCGGAGAAGGGAGTAGGCTTTATTGACACAGAAAATGGTGGGACTTATTACTGTGATAGAAGAGAGAAAGTAGGATTCAAGGACATTAGTTTTGACATTTTAATGTCTTGACATTTGCACATACTTTGTGCACTGAAACAAAATTATGTTTTGATAATGGAGAATTAATTCATTAATTCATTTTCTCTATGTTTTTCTATATATTTTGTAGTCCCTACAAAATAACTAAGTGCATCTTTACTTCCAAAAAATATTCATGTTTAATATTTTTAAAATACTTCCAACAATATACTGTATGTGTACGTTGATTGTGTATGGGTCAAAATATTAAAGGATAATAGAATAGGATTTTATGATTCATTCTCTTCAAGAAGGTCCTAATAAAGGTTGAAAATTGATTTTCAGATTCTTGATATCTTTGGGATCTCATTCTATTTAAGCATAAAAATTTTGGTATAACCTGATATAACAAGAGTAGGGGACTAATACGAATTATTGTAAAGCAGTTTTCCATAACTTATTTTCCTTTCCTTTGTCATGAATTACCTTAGTACAAACCTTAAGAGTCCCATCATTTTCTTTTGCAGCTATTTAAACAATAAGTTAATTCATAAAAGTATGCTGATAATTTTCTTTCTCAGGTAAAATAATTATTTTGAACAACCTCCTTTTAGAGATATAGGGATTTACATCACAAAAGTGACAGTTAACAGGGAATTTACAGTTTCCTACACATAAATTTGGTTCATGTAATATTTTTATTCATCAAAAAGTATGTCCCGTAACGAGCAGTTACTCTATACTTAAAACTGGCTCTTTTCCAAGCATCTAGTAAATTCCCTTTAACCATCTTAATTGAACTGAATGGCAGTCTTTTCTTCATTGCCCTTGATTTGTCTCTCAGAGCTATTTTATAAATTAAGATCTTTTCATAAATATATAATGTTGGAAATGAAGAAATACTACAAGCTATTAAACTTATGACCAAATAGTAACCTTCTGTACTAAGGAGATTAAATGAAATAGTAGAAGATATATGACATTTTTTTTTTTTTTTGGTACCGGGGTTAGAACTTGGGTCCTTGTGCTTGCGCAGCAGGCGGCGAAACCACTGAGCTAAATCCCCAGCCCCTATATGACATATTTTTAAAGAAGTGTAATTTTCGTTGTTAATAATACAAGGACTTCTTGATGTCTGTTTAAGGTGTATTTGTATTTCATAGCATTGCCTTCTAAATTTGCCTAAATGATAATGCCTTCTGTTTACAGATCTATTTGTAATCCTCCTTTGTACTAAGGTTTGGTGAAATGATATAATTCTGGCAGTGATTTGTGAAAGTAATTATTATCTGAGATTTTTGTGAGATTTGATGTACAGTTTAAAGACTGGCAATTTCTCTAGAAAATGTTCTCTAGAAAGAATTACTTTCTCTTTCTTGCAAACTAAAACATATATAAGATACAATTATATTTCTTGTTATTGAGAATTAAAATAAGTAAATCATAGGATGATGAAGAGTGAAGTAGTAAGAGCTTGTGCCTCTAACAGTTATAGAAAGGCCTGTAGCCTTGGAATAATTACATTTGAACTTTGTCTATGCAAAGAATAAGTATCTATCATGGTAATTAAGCTTTTATTTAAGGTTTTTGGTTTTAAGCAGCTAATAGAAATACATGGATTAATTTTGTGGAGAAATTCAAGTCATTCTCATTGATATAGTTTATGTTTCTGCATTTATGGACAATTAATCAGATCTAGTGAAGTATTTTAATTGTGCATGCCCAATATTATCTTTCTGCAAACCCATGGAGTAATGTTGATTTATATTTTCATCAAATTCCCATATAAATTTTTTTATACTTATAATTGTTCACCTCTTTGTTTCCTTCCCTTTGTGTTACTATATTTTTGTGATACATAATATATACATTCATTGAAGAGAATTAGTATATAAACATATTACAT